ATCAAGATAAATGATTTACTAATGTATTATGGATATAATATATTGATTAGAAATCATATTTTTTAATTAATATTTAATAAGAAATTAATTTTAGGATTAAAGGAATTAATTGAAACAGTAGGGACTAAAGGGGACAATGTTTAAAAGTTGAGCATTGAAGTATTCTAGAATCTCCCTTAGAGGTGGGGAACGAAATCTAGATTGTCCTAGGGTTTCCTTGGGCTATAAGGATGCCTTGGAAGACTTAGGGAGGAAGTTAAGGGATTTGAGTTATCTAAGATACACCTGCCTTATCCTAAACCTTCCTTATCACCTATATAAACCCCTATAGGGTTGGATTTCGTCTAAGGCACTCCAAGAGAGGCTTAGAGCCGAATTTTCCACTTCCCTTCTGTCTCCATAGTAATCATTGGTTGCTAGGTTTGTTTGTGAGACATTATAGGCTCGAGACTTGTGGCGCTTGCTACCAAAGTTCAAGATCTTCAAGGATTTGATTGTTATTACAATATAAAAATCAAGGTATGTATCCTAACACTAATTATATGTTAATTTCGAAAATTACATGTGCCTCCTATGGTTTCTAGTTTTTGTGTTCAATGCTTGTATGTCTAATAATAGATCCTCAAATTAGGGTTGCATGCACACATATGATTGTTTGCTATGTATAAAACCCATCAATTCTTACACTTACGATAAGGATTTGGAATTGTGAAATGAGTGATAGTGGAAATGTTTACAATTGATCTATTTCGCAAAGTAAGAACCATAGGTAAACATAGTGTGCATGCTTGGAGCATGGGATAACTATTGTTTTTGATTTAAGTATTAAGTTGATAAATCAAAACATTATACAATGAATAATGTGTAATCAATATGGTGATTAAATAAAAGGTGTTTTATTTATATTCAAAAGTTTTGAGACCATATTGGATTCGATTATTCTTATGTTTCACTTTGCATGTTTTGACTTCACGAATAATAAGATTATTCAAACCATGCACAGTCTATCATAATTTGGAAGTAGGTAATTAGGCAAGACTGTCACGAATCCGTCTGTAGATTGTCTAAGCGTTAGACATAGCACAAGTTTGCTACATTATTCATGAGTACTCCTGTAATAAGATTTGAGTATTGGACTAAACCCACTCTCATCTGAATCACTTCATGGATTTTATCACGAGTGTTTGTGAGACGATAATATCTTATATTCTTGAAACCAAGACATGTGAGTTGTAGTTTACAAGTTGGTTGCACGTTAACATATGTAAACACACCAGTAACTTGGTGTTATAAAACATATTGTTGTGTGTGATTTGATGAGTAAGTGCTATCAAGCATTTGAGTCGAAGTTTCTCCGTTCCTTTTATCCTAAGAGGGATAAAAGCGATATATGTGGGCCCCTCAATGATTTAGTGATGAAAACCCTAAATTCTTGGCCAAGCCTGGACTGATTTGATTTGTTCGATTAGTCGGTCATCATAAATCGGAAATAAGGAAACAACACATGAACAGAGAGAATGATTATAATCTATGTCACAGCTCATATGATATTAAGATGGAGGAATATATAATCCCTTATCTCATGGACGCGTCATTGACTAGGTCAGAGTTCGACATCGGCTTTTGAGAGCTACGATTGCTAGTCAGGATTTTGGAGTCGTACTTGCAATAATAGTTATTAGACATATCCAAGTGGGAGACTGTTGGATTAGGTGTCTAAGCCCATAACTATAATTGGTATGTACTTGACCCGAGAGTAGCATGGTCGATTTGGGTTGCCTTCACCAGAACAATATGATAGGATAGATATTTGAGAAAGAGGTTATTTATGATTTATTAATATATTATCGGTATAATATATAATTGTGAAATCATATTATTTAATTGGTATTGATCAATAATTAGTTTGAAATTAATTTAGTGATCAAAAGAGACTAATTAAATTAACAGGGACTGATTATGTAAATATGTGATATATAATATATATATATATATATATATATATATATATATATATATATATATATATATATATATATTGTTTGGGCTGTTGATCCATGTTGGGCTAAGTTTATGTAAGAGTTAGCCCATATGAGATATAGATCATAACCTAAGTGTATGGATTAGAGCTTACCCATGACCCTTGGAATCCTACACTATATAAATGTCATTCCTCAGCGAAAATCGGTTGCCTAAGTGTTCTTAGAAGAGAGAAAACCAATTTTAGAGCGCTTAGGGTGCGTTTGGTTGTCGAAAATTTTCCAATTTTCTAGGAAAATTTTCCAAGAAAAACGGAAATAATGAAAACACGTTTGGTTCGTTCAGTTTTCCAAAATTTTCTAGGAAAATGAAAATTTCCAGTTTTCCAAATTGTATGTAATTAGAAAAGTGATTTTTATAGTTTTCCAAAGTTTTCCAAATTTCTAAGATGGAAAATTAAAACTCCACCGGTTCCAACCAAACACGTTTTCATTGAAAATTGAAAATGAAAACTCAACCCTATTTTTTGAAAACATTTTCATAGAAAATGAAAACAGTTTTCCACAACCAAACGCACCCTTAACCTCTCTCTCAAAGTCCACCTTTATTTATGGTGCTTGTGAACCATTTGAGACATCACACTTGAGGTGCTAAGCTCATGAAAGGCCAAAACTACAAGCAACAATATAGAGGTATTCTTCTAATTTGATTTTATGATTCATGTACCAAAATTGTATGCTAGCTGTAGGCTTAATGCTTTGGAATTTTATTGCATGTATAACTAGAAAAAACTAAGATCCAAAGCTATTAGGGTTGTATATGTACCATAGGAGTGTTATAGTAGACAAAACCCAACAGGTCTTTCATACTTAATGCCAGGAACCACCTCCTGGTCTTTCATACATAATACCTAGAGCTAGCCCTCGGGTCTTCCAACAATACATAAACCAAATGGGCCGGCATTGGCGCCTTCGACCCATACAAATAGTGAGGAGACTCACCTCCCACTGGTAAAGTCTCACATATAAAACTCTAGTTGTTGGATGATAGATTCCCGAAATGTCAACATCAAAGCAACACCCAATAATACATAACCATAAGTCCATGTTTGGGGTAAAAAGACTACTTTACCCCCAACCAAGTTTGATCCCAGCCCAAGGCCAAAACATACAATCTAAAGGCCCAAAAGCCAAACCATGAACTAATGCCCAACATATAGCTCAATTTTCCAAACTGGGCCCAAACCCTTCACATGGACCTTACCCTAAAGCCCATCTAAATTTCCTAGTCCATATACTTATTATTAGAGGGCACATCCATAGTCCAAATATCTAAGCCCAACAGAAAAAGCCCAACACAATTAGGGTTTTCACATAAAATGACGATTATGGTTAATTAAAAATATTTAACCCACTAACGACTTAATCCATTAAGTCCACCATTCTACTAGGTGAATCATATAGTGTGGTCGGGCGTAATTCATAATTCAATTCCAATGGTCCAAAGTGCGGGTCCCGGCAACTCCAAAACTAACATATCCAAAATTAGGGTTTTCTAAACCCTAATTAGGGTTTCCAACCCAATCGCTTGCCAATTATTCCAATGGTTAAATTTTTAGGCTAATTAATGTTAAATAAGTCAGGCACCACCCACTACCACCTTGGGTAATAGTGGTCAACAGGGGTTTACGGCGGTAGCCACCACCTTACGGTGGCGCTGGTTATGATTTTAGGCCAAAACTATGATAATGCATTTCAAACATCCATCCAAACACATATATATACACACAACCAACCAAAGTCGCATCTGGTGGTGGCAGAATGGCAGCATGTGGTGGCAACCACCATGGTTGGCTGCAATGGTGGTCCTTACGATCTCCGACCAACAAATACACACACACACACAAACGCTGGCATAATTGGAAACACGCATCCAAACACACGAAATGACCCACACAACACCGCCACCCATACGGTGGCAGATGGAAACCGAAGGACGCAACAAAAGGAGCAGCCGCTCGGGCGACAGTGTCAACAAGACTCAAAGATATGGTAGAAAGAACGAAGGGGTGGAAGGGCTGGCCATTATCGGAGAAGAAGATGTAACATTGGCCACAAAATGTCGGTATTCACTATCGCCGACAACAACAACTTACGAGGTCGACTTCGGGGTTCCGACTTCGTCGACAGTGGGCGCAACGGCGCTGACTCTCGGCCGTTCAAGGCAACGTCAAGGGGGGTGGTGGCGGCTGGACATTGGGGGATACAAGGTGGCAGGTGCAATTAAGATTAGGGTTTGGGTTTGAGAGGGTATTGGGTGCTATATCGGATGAAGGGATGATATGAGTGACGGGTTTGATCTCCCGTCTCCAATTCCAAACTTAAATGTGCATTTGACACTTCCAGCCCCTCCAACCACTAACATTTTCAGATTAGACCCATTATTTACCAAACAACCATTGTTCATGAAATTCTTTACACTTCAAGTCCAAAAGATACAATTTATACTCCAAATTCTTGAAATTATAACATTTAACTCCCTTGGATAGCACTGATCAGTTATTACGGATTTAGAGCTAAAATAAAATAAAATATAAAATATATATCGAGGCTTTATTTATTATTATTATTATATTAATTTCAAACGGACTATTACATAGAGAGAAAAGAGGGGGCTCTAATACCATTATAATGAGTGTATTTCCCATAAAATGATATCAATACGATATACCAAAATACATACAATGAACCGTACTTACGAAAGAATGGCGATAAACTCTTGGATATACTATAACTAATAGATAAATAACTAACATATATATTGACAACTTACCGCTTTTGCAAGTCCTTGCATGCAAACAATGTTGAACATTGATATAATAATCGCTCATCCTGCTAGATTTGTATGGAAACCAATTGATCATATTACGTCATGAATCATCACTCAAATTTTCTCATAACCACATCATTGCATAGATTATCAAATTACGAAAGTACATGTCTTAGAACACACCATCTTTTTCATGACTTTTTCATCCTACGATCACTTTGGGTAACAAAGATTCCTTGACCATACGTTGAAGAAATCACACCAACAAGCAATGGTAGTTGTAATGTCACGAACGAAGCAATTGGCAGACATGTTAATGTGGCTATCGGGATCATTAACCATGCCTTTTCTTGTCCAAACATAAGATACAATGTTGCACTAAAAGCTACCATCATCGAGGTTACCGACAAGAACAACATCCCAAGGCCAAGTATTAATCTTGTAGGCAACTTATACAGAAAATCCTCCTCTCGATAACGTGTTGTGAGAATGGATAGAAACAACAACAACGAAGTGGTGGACGCAAATAATGATATTGCATCCGAAACTGCAAATACAACGAAACTGAGTTTTATTTCATAAATTGCTTTGCCAGTGTCACCATCATTTCCACCAGGCACAGTAATCTCTGCTGCAAAAACTATCGTAATTATAAGTGCAGCTACAATTGTGTATGAATCCGCTGTCTTCTTCATCCACTCTTCGCCTTCTTTTCTCAACTCCTTGTGTTCTTCTCTAAACACCATAATTGGTGTCTCTTCCTTTTTGGTTTTTTGATCCTTGTACTTCGGTTTCACAAAGTTTCCCACTTCCTATACGTTAACTAACATTAAAGAAAACAAAGATATATAAACTAAAAAAGTTCATCAATACACCAAAAATATGTTCACCTCAAACCATTGTAACTCCCTTTGCATTTGTAGAGCTGCTCCAGAAACCAGATTGAGTTTGTGTACTGGTGCCAATTTTGCAGCCAAGTGTAATAGATTATTATCATCTTTGTCTCGACGTTGTTGATGTGCATATTTGTCATAAGAGAGATGACATAGTAGAAAATTGTAAACCTTTTCAGAGCGGTTTCTTATTGCAACTTGAATAAGGCTATAACCATCGATCTTGGTCCAAATTGCGTATGGAAAAGATTTGATGATCTCTTCTATTACTTCTGGAGTATCATTATTCACTGCAAACTTCATTGCATCACAATACTGTTTGCAAATTTCACTTTCGGTAGTAATTGTACAAACTTCTTGACATATACGCTTCAGCACGACAAGAGCTTCATTATGTTTTGCTTTTTCCTCCAGGAGGTGCTTGATGTGTGGAACTGCAGTTAATTTGATGTAAACAAACCATTTAATTGTCAACTATGAATGAAATATTGGTAGGAAGAGAATAACTTGTCTTCTTATTTACTAGGTAACTTTTAAAGAAATTGGCAATGATGGTAGCTCGATTCTGAAAAGTAAATGCTTACAAGGCTGACGTTGTTTTACAAGATACATTATTGGAAGGATCATGATAACAATAGCAAAAAAGATTTCGAAGTAAAAGGACATGATGATAATGATATGTGTTCGGTGTAGATCGAATTTGAACTATGAAACTTTGCTAGAAGATAAAGATAAAAAGGTCTTTAAAGAAGATATACAAACAAACTGATCATATGGGCATACATCAGATGTTTTTAGTGAGTCGAATTAGAGAGATTACATTTGATATATACTTAAGGTTTTAGCAGTTCTCTCTCCAAGATGTTGGGGCCAAATATTACTACTTTGACATTTTATTAGTGAGCTTTATAGCAAAAAACATTTGTGAAGTTTGTCATGATCCTCCAGTAGTATTTTTAAACGAGATAAAATTAGACTTTGTAATTAAGCGAAATCGGGAATAATTGTAAGATTCAAAGTCTATAATTCTGCCGATTCTTTGACATTTAGAGGTTAATTATATATAATACATGATTCGACTAATGAGAGACAAGCAATTATCGTCTTTTTTGTAACCAATGTGGTGAAACTCTATTAGTACCTAACTCTGACAATAGTATAGGTTAGATTCTACTAATAATATGTTTGAAAGCATGTTACAACAAAAAATATGTTTACCGTAAATTTAAATATAGCCAAAACAAAAAAAAAATATTAGTTGAAAATTAAATATATTTTAAAAGTTATTTCACTGTTATACAACTAAATATGGTCAACCAAATCATTTAATAGTTGATCATATGAGGAGGGCATGGGAATATAGTAACCGTGATGCAAATTACAAAGAATATAATAGTTTAATGAAAGTTGCTAGTAGATGCCAACGAACTTCAACCTTGAGTAGCAAATTGAGAAATTATAACATCAAGTGTTAAGCCCGTTTTACCATCAAGGGATTTAAAATCCCTGATTTTATTTATTTATTTATTTATTTTTATTATTATTATTTTTTTGATGGAGACAAAAGGAGCCGTAATTTATGATTTCAACCTCCTTGCCCACTAGATTACTAGCCCTTCAAGCCTTTCGAATAACTTGAGAATCTGTTTTTCTCTTAGCGACAAGGTTACATCATAACGAAGATCAAGACTAAGCAATAAATATATGGAAATATATGTTTGTTTGTAGGATTTACTTGAACAACGTTGAAATGATACAAAATTATGTTTCACTAAAGTACCACTTTTACTATCCGTCAATGTGTATATCCAAGAAGAAAAAGTTTCAGAAGGGATATGATCTCCAACGACCAAAGTAGAGGGTAACACTAAAGAATTATTGGACTAGATAAATTCCAATTTCATATAACAACCAATTTCGCTACTACATTAACTTTTTTGTAGTTTACCACCAAATGTAATAGAAGCGTTCATTTGGTTGGAGTTAAATTTGAATCTTAAAAAAAGCTATTTTTATAGGATATACCGAAACAATTTTTTAACGAACAAATCATACCCTAAAACCGTTATACCGATTATCCTTCTCCTACGAAAAAATGTGGTCTGGTTAAATCCGAAATTCGATCCCATAACAACTTATCCCAACCCAACCGAATTTAGGGATATTTAGCTGATTTTACCCAATGTTTGTGCACCTCCACTCATGGGTGGCACCTCTTATACTATAGTGATCAATGATCTCAATCAACTCCATCGTATAGTTGAAAACTATAAAACTATGAAAAAGCTCATCGTTTTTATTGTTGTGGTTTCAACATTTTAGTTTCAGAATTAAAAAAGGACGACCAATACATCCCATCCATCTACCCCATCCACCACCACCATTATCTACCACCACCACCATATATGATTTTGGAAACCTAGCTTTGTCGGCATCAAATTATCCAGAGGATTGTTTTCCATATATATATATATATATATATATATATATATATATATATATATATATATATATATATATATATATATATATATATATATATATACCACGATTACAAAATTAATTAAATTTTCATAAAAAAAAATTATAATTATTAATCAATTATTTTAAATAAATTTTTAATTAAAAGATATATCTAATTTTGTTGTTATTCTATCTTCAAATTTAACATATAATTAGAAAATGTAAGTTTAAATTTTAAACTGAGTTGTCTGATATATCTACATTACACATGACATAATATTAATAAGGAGTTGTATTAGAGTGACACTTGGCAAAAGAAAATTAAAACTATTCTTTTATTTAAATAGGGATATATATATATATATATATATATATATATATATATATATACACACATACACACATACATACATACACACACACACAGACACGATAAGCGATGTTTTTCGGGTAATAGTTGGTTTTATGATGAGCTAAACCTCATCGTGGGTGTAACACCCTCTCTTTTTTCTTTTGAAAATCTTAAATTTTTACTTATAAAATAAATAAATAAATAAAGTGACTAGGTTAATATTATTAAATTAGTCACATTTGAAATATTAAAGAAAAGATATGAAAGTTGATAACTTATTAGACTTATAATAGAAATTTTGAATTAAGGACTAGAAATGTCAAATAAACCAAACTTTTCATAACAAGCTTTGACCTAGTTAAGTACTTAAATGTTATAGAGTTGGTAGAGTATGGAAAAATTATAAAAAAAAAAAAATGGAAGTTTAGTTAGAGTTTTAACAAATGGTGTTAACTTTTAGAAGCTAGAAACTACAAGAATTTATTTTGCCAATTAGATGTAGATTAATAATAACTAGCTTATCACTTCTTTATTTGAGTTGAGATAAAAGATGGAAGGAAAATTATTCCATGGAAATTTGAGAGAATCGTGGAGAGGTTGTAGTGGTACTTGAATGTGATTGCATAAAGAGAGTCATGGAGTGAGTTGTGGTGCTTATAAATGTATTATATCTTCTATTACATCTATAAATTTCTAGTTAGGGTTTCGTATACATACTTAATCCGAATTTTTACGTATACTCAATGATTTATATGTGTGTTTGATGCTAGAAATTATTTTTAGAACATCAAGCAATCACCATCTCATCCTAGAAATGGTTGATCTCAACTTAAATGATGAATTTGTGTTTTAGAACCCTACCTTGATGGAAAAGTGACACTCACCATTATCTCATATATTAAACTATTTTATGATAATAAGATCAAATCTTTGTAATCTTGGTAAACCAATGGTGTGATTTTCATAATTGAATTCAAAATGTGATTTCATGTGTCTTTTAGATGTTTGTGAATGAAATTAATGATTCTACTTGTCATTTACCAGTAGAATCAAAACGTGAAGTTTAAAAATAAAACATATTTCAAAATGATTTGGAAAATGTTTAATGAAATCAAATAACTAAAATTTATATACGTTGAGAGTTTTCAATGTAATAAAGGATTTTGTTAAGTTCATAACGTCTAAAGTTTAATTTAAGCTTCTCAATCCCATGTATGAGCTTTGAATGACATTTTTTGGAATGGAATCATGAATCACTAGAGTAATTATGGTGTGTAAATTATATATAGTGGCATCCTAATTGATCATCAAGACTTGAGAAAAATGATCTAGATGTGTCATTGAGATGGTGCTGACTTAATTGTTAAGTAGGTTTTTGTTGCCTTCCTCTACACTTTTGAACTCATGGATACATTAGTTTATTACTTGGTTATGATATTAATGTTATGAAAAATAAAGGAGTTTTAAATGAAAGGAGTTAGAGTTATATAATCAATAATAACTATTTATTGAGTTTATGAAGAATTGGAAGTCATTAGAGAAAAGTACATAGCCTAATGAGAAATTTAGCTAATATGTGTGTAGAGTGTGTACTGATTTTTTCAGCTTCTAACTAGTGTTTGGCTCACTTTTTTTTTTTTTTAACTTCTAATCGCTTCCATTACTTCTATATACGTGTTTTGTGTTGTTTTTGTTCTAAATGATTTATATGAGTAGGTAAGTGTATATGCATACACAAATGAACGATTTTTTTTTTGGCAACCTCTTCCAACGATTCTTTTAGACACTAGAAGAGGCTCTCAATGGCCACGTATAAAAACACAAATGCATATTTATATGGATACGTGCATATAAACATTCGTTGTACGCATATAAAGAAAAAAGTTTGAATCTTATACACACACCATAAGGTAAATTTTTGTGTGTTTTTTTTAACTCAACTCTCTATATACACACATATATTTTTTAGTTTGTTCTTGTTTGTGTTTTGAGAGATTTTACTTATTTGAGAAGCATTTTTGTTTTGCAAACTATTTGACATCCTAACTGTATGTAGGATGAGAGACCTTGGTTGTCATTCATTAATCCACATTAGATTCAACTTTGTAGTTGAATGGTTAAATTTCTTGACAATCATAAACACGTGCAAGTGAGGCTCATTATCCTTTGTGTGGTGTATTTATTATTCTTAGCATGTCACCTAGTTGATAGTTATTAGGCATTGATATGGTTTCAGTTGAGATATTCTTCTATATTTAGTAATGATTCCACTATGCATAATTCGATGCAACCATGTTTGTCCCTTTTTAACCATCAGTGTGTTTTGGACCATTCATAGTGACTTGATGATGTGGGTCCTAGTGTGGAGGATCGGGCCCTTTTGTTCCTAGAGGCTCATGAGCGCGTGATTAAAGGGGCTTCACAGAAATGATCATAACTTTGGCTACAGGGCTCCAATAGGGACTTACCCACTTTTGAGTATGAAATTCACTTTCTAAATGGAGTTATAGACACTTTTGTGCTTTTTTTTCATAATTTCTGGGTTTCGTTTTTTGGTTTGTATATGACCCATGGTTGTTTTGATGCCTATTTTAAATATGCTCCTTATTTATGTATGACTGATGTAATTTGGATGATCATTTAACAGTTTTATGAACTTCCAATTTTCTGCTAAAATTATGTGTGTTGAACCAAATTTGAAGCCAAAATCATGATATTCGTAAAATCAACGTGGTTTGAAAGAGATTTTAATGGGTATTCTATTAGAACCAACATGTTCACTCTTATTTATCTTTGTTCCATTTTGCACACGACATCACTTGATTATTGGAATAAATGCATATTGCATTATTATTATTATTATTATTATTATTATTATTATTATTATTATTATTATTGTTAATGTTGTTGTTGTTGTTTTTGTTGTTGTTGTTGTTGTTGTTATTATTATTATTATTATTATTATTATTATTATTATTATTATTATTATTATTATTATTATTATTATTATTATTACATGTTGTTAGATTTATTTCAATTTGCTACATTGAATATGTTAGAAGTTTGTTGGTCTTATTTAGCTAACGATTGTTGGATTAGTTGTTCATGTTGGATTTTATTTAGTTTTGGATTAATAAACCCTTTGTTATTGCGTTTTGGGTTCATATACCCTTTGTTTTGAATTTGGTTCTATAGTACCCTTCATTTTGGTTTATTAAAACCTTTGGTAGTTTTGTTAGGTTTAAATTGATTTTGAAGATCTAATTCCACCGAGTGATTTCTATCATCACTTACTAAAAAATAAATCAACTAATTGTATTCTCACTAGACATTCTATTTCCTAACTTGTTTTGACATACGATCAAATTGAAGACTTAGAGATCATGAGTAGAACTGAGAGAGGAAACGAAGAAGGCCATGTTTTGGGTTGTTTCACTTAACCGAGTATGTGTTAATTGATCATTATTCTCTATTTTAAACTAACTTAAATATTTTTTCAAATTAGGACCATTTACTTTCCATATTTTAAAACTATGAATCTATTTTGACCTAAAATCAAATGATTTTAAAAGGTACTTTTAAATTACCCTAGCGAGGGGCGTTTAAATTGATATCATAACATGAGTTTAAGTCAACTATGTATAACATGGTTCTTAAAATTAAACAGTAGTGCTCTTGGAAGATTCAGAAGTTTAAGTACTTGGCCTTTGGATGTGATATCTTACTGTATAAGTTTCTCAAAAATGGTAAAAACTAGGAGTTGTGCCCTAATGGTGGAGGAGAATGAAGTTGCTGAAATTGTTGAATTACAATCCAACCAAACTACATAGGCCAAAATTCTGAAATTGATGGTTGGGATGCTAAATAAGCTAGAAAAGAAAATGGTTGGGAAGTTTCAAGAGATGTCGGAAGGACTATAGATTCAATTCTAAAGTGAACTGCAAAGAATGATTGGTGAACACCATACCAATGTGGTTTGTGCAACCAGCCAAGATGTAGTGAGACGATGAGTATACAAAAATAGGATGAAATATAATAGATTTTGGTTTTTGTCAAACCCCATAACATAGTAGCAAAATGGATCAAGTCGCGACATTAATTCCTACTAGGTGTATGAAATAAATATAAACGAATGTGGAGATCAAAAAGTGTAATGAAAGCTGGTTACGAAGGGATTCCTACGAATGGAGGTTGTTGACTTTTATAATATTTTTTCACCTATTGCAAAATTGGTAATAGTTAGAACACTTATTGTTGTCGTAACTAAGAATGACCAAATTGTGCATCAACTTGATACTACTAATGCATTTTCACATGATGTCATTCAGGAAGATGTTTTACACGAAAATTCCAAATGTTTTTTCAAGAAAAGGAGAAAGCTTGTTTGCAGGTTACAAAAATCCCTATATGGAGTACGTCCGACATTTCACAAATGGTATCAGAAATTTACTTTAGCACTTAGAAGCTATTTAAAAAAACACATGTTTATGCATCCTTGTTCATATTTAAGAATAGGGATGTCTTCATTGCTTCTTTAATAAATGTTGATGATGTGATTATTGCTGGTAATAATGCTTCTAAATTATAAGAAGTCAAGTCATTTCTCGATCATCAGTTCAATATTAAAGATCTATGTGCTTTGAAATATTTGTTGTGCATATAAGTAGCACGGAGACTCGATGGAATTGTCCTTAATCAACGCAAATACATACTTTACATTCTAGAAGAGAGTGGCTTAAAGGTATGTCGTTCAAGCTCGTTTGTAATGGAACAAAACTTACAATTAAATTAAAGTACCGACAAAGCTAAAGTACATGCAATTCAATATTGACATATTGTTGGAATGTTACATTATCTTCAGGCCACTAGACTAGACATTACACAGTCAATTCAACATGTTGTTTGAAATAAATGTCCAATGTCATAACTAAATTGATATAACTTTGGGAATAATGACAACGTCCTTTTTGTATTGCCCTTAAATGCTAAAATATCTATAATGGATTAAGGATATTGAGATAATTAGTTAATTGATTTATTAAATGTTAATAAATTAATTAGAATTGATTAATATTTAATTAGAATTACTTAGGAATTAATTAGAATTAATCAGGAATTGATTAAAGGTGTAGACTAAATGTTAATTGTCCAAAAGTTGACCAAGATGAGCATTCTAGAAACCCTAAAGAGGGTGGATGATTTGGCGCTTCTAGGTGGCCTCTAGAATCAATCTTGTAATCAGATAAGAAACTGATTTGAATCTAGATTAAATCTGGTTATGTAATTGATTCAAATCTACTTTGCCTGCAAGTTACCTCAATTATATAAGGAACCCTCTGGTTTTTAAGATTATCGATCGAACCTTCCCCAAGGTTGAAAATTTTACATTTCTCTTTCCTCTCTCATCTCTCCTAAATATTTTAGGGTTTTAGTCTTTTGGGTGTAAGCCATTAGAGACACTCTGCTTTGGGTGCTAGACCTTCCAAGTGATTGCATGGAATTCGAGATATACAAAGTAGTCAATAGGAAATACGATTTTGTCATAAAGGTTAGTAATCATTTCCCTTTTTGCTAGTTCAAATGTTAGTTTTAAAAGTACGTTGCTATAACGTACAAACTTAGATCCTAGGGTACATGTACATTTAGGATGATTTTTGAATGTTTCCGCTGCCATAATCTAGTGTATAGTTGTATAGAAAACTCAACACATGCTTAGTCGGTTTGTAAAGAATCCATGACAACCTCATACGGAAGCCGGAGTTCGGGTTCTGCATTATCTAAAGGCTACCCGAGGACAAGGAATCTTAATTTTGAAGGAAGGGGGTCTTAATCTTATAGCCTATTGTGATGTTGCCTGGCCTAGGTGTGCATATTCATGAAATTCTCATTCATGATATTTACTTCTTTTTGGTGAAGCACCTATTTCATCGAAAACCAAGAAACAAATGGTTTCCTTAAGATCCTCAACTGAAGCGGACAAAACATTTCGAGATGTATTGTTATTTTGTTCGTGAACATGTTGAATCACAAGAAATAAAGCCTTTTGACGTTGATACGAAAGTACAATTGGCTAACATGTTTACTAAGGCATTAGGCTGGATCGCCTGTAGAAGCTACTTGACAAGTTGGGCACTCAGATTTACATGCTCCAACTTGAGGGGATCAAATGATTTTAGTCATTATCCTACTTTCTTTTTTCGTTAGTATTCATATCTAGCTATTTGTATTAATTTGGTTGTTATCTGTTTTTTGCTAAACCTAGTTAAACTTAGTTTGCTTAATGAAGGATTCAAGTTATCGATCCACAAAAGTTTATAAATTTCGTGACACCACTACAATATAAATTGGAAATAATACTTAAGAAGAGTGAACATATATACACAATGCAGACACAGATTTCACGAATTAATCATTATGCATCTTATCTATGCGGACCCTATCTCTAACACCATTTTCAGGTGGTGCCATGATGTGTTTTGCTGTAGACATGAGACGATAAGGGTACCCGAGAATGGAACTAATCTTTCAAAAAACTCTTCACATTTGCCTTTGTGAAAGACATTAATACTCAGAAATGAAGAAACTAATGCGCTTATTTAAGTGGAAACTAAAGAAAACCTTACCACGCAGTATTGCAGCTTTCCACATTTTGACATAAATCCTCATGATCACTACACATGAAAACAGAACTGGTTGTATATATGAAGTTAAATGGAGAAAAACTCAAGTAAACAAATAATGATAATTACGGCTGATTACTATTCATTTATTTTAAATAAACACTCAACCTCATTGGAATGTAAAGGTGGAATCCATATTAACGCTTAATTTATTTCAACTGAGATATGTTCGAAATGGTTCTAGTTTCATCCCAATTAATTGTGAATAGAAAAATAATGTATCTTCATTCCAAGAAGATAAAACTTCATTCAAAGAAGACAAATCAAAAGGTATTGTGCGCAAGTCTTAACAAGCCAAGATAGCATATCATGTTTGCTGAAACTTAATTTACAATATTTTACATTAGTTGATATTGGTTAATTTATATGGAGGTTTAATCACTTTTTCAGATAATTATGTCAAAATCATCTTAGATTGTCACCTGACACTTGTAATAAAAGAATGCCAGCATGTTGTTCTTGAAACATGATCATGTCAAAACGACTATTGTGTAAATCATATATATATATATATATATATATATATATATATATATATATATATATATATATATATATATATATATATATATATATATATATATATATATATATATATATAATTAGACTTCCAAATCACAAACCAGAGTAGAAGCGGCTCTTCGTGTTTTTGGGATTCGTACTACAAGTCTCTTGGTTCTCAATATCTTGGATCATACTTTTATCATGTAAACAATTTTCCTCCCTTGGCAGATCTTCAAAACAAAGATTATTAGTTAGATGATGATCAATACTCATATAAAATAACCAATTCAATCCCGACCCACTTGCATGTTAAATAGATGATCCACAAATTTGATTGAATCTTAGACTTTACAAATAATCACTATCTATTTCATTGTATAACTCATTCACAACCACAAATCCAATCGACTCCTAATTCCACCTATGTCCCACATAGGATTTAGGATTTGAATCATCGGCCTAAAGGAGGGAGGACGCCTTTGGTATATGTCATAACTGATGCATCATAAATTACGACCAATATGACGCATGCATGTACACCAAATAAATGAATCAAGTATAAGTGAAGAAACATACAAGAATAAACAAGTCTTTGGTAGAAGTTATATCTGGTTCCACTATAATATAAGTCCCACTTTTTCCCAATAGACGTCAGTGGGAAAGTATCCTTGCTCTTTGTTCTGGCCATGTGTGGGTACTCCGTGATCAATTCATGTGAAACATCTGCAAGTAGAATTTTCAAGGCAAATAGAGATACATATATAAAAGAGGTGTGTATGAGGATATTCTAAGTTTCTTAATACTTGATTATAAGGAAAATGATTTACAAGCCAACGAAGTTTCCAAACTGTTCAAAAAAAACCCAACGAACTTAACATTTTATCTAAAAAGCCCAACTAAGTTACACTTTTCTGAAAGTCAAATAAGAGAAATAGATGACGTGACTTATTACCGTATCGGGAAAATGACTTACACCAACAACATTTCCAAAACGTTTAAAAAACTCAAATCATGTTTTGACTGTTCAAAAAAAACCCAATGAACTTAAACAAAACAAAATTGGGATTTTTTGGACGGTTTGGAACTTTGTTGGAGTTTTTAGACAAAAAGTTAAATTCACTGGATTTTTTTGAACAGACAAAACATGATCCGGATTTTTTGAATAGTTTGGAAACTCTCTTGGGCTTTTATATATGGGAAGAGGATATGTTTCTTCACAAAACTCACCCAAAAACCCTGAATCAATAGCATTAGTGAGAAGACGGGCACCATGTACCCCCTCAAAGGGACTGTGATATCCATCTTTTTGGGAGATCTCAATATATTGTTTGCATGCATCAAGCAAATATAGGAAAGTGGTTTTGTGAGAGTTAATGATTGCTTTATGAATTGGTAAGGAAGTAACATCCAAAATGAATAACAAATCTGGATTTTTCTTGGCCAACATCTTCGCAACCATGGTGTTATCAATCTTTGCAGCACGATGCAGTGGGTTGACTCTTTTGTTATTCACCATTTCTGGAAGCGACTCCGGGGTTATCTCCTTCAAGAGGTTCTCAACAAACTGTATATTTTCCGCCTTGTCCATTGCAATGTGGAGTGCGCTATCGCCATTAGAATTGAGTTTAGCAGTAAGTGCATCTCTGTCCTCCTTGAATATTTCTTCGGCTTTTCTCCAGTTGTTCTTGAATATTTCTTCGGCTTTTCTCCAGTTTATGAAGAAATTAGCAGGAATCAAAAAAGAATTTCGAACAATCTTCCCGACTTGAAGATTAATATTGGTGGCAAACCCTTTTTGATGGTGGTTCTGGTGTTAGTGATGCTATTGCTGGTGGTAGTGGTGGTGTTTCTGCTTGAAGAAGCCATTAGAGTGGAAACTAGCACTCGTTACACCTGCGTCAAGATGAGCTTATATATCACTTTAGACCTGAAAATACTTCTTTTGTCAAATTGTACTATAAATTAGGATGGGTCTTACGTAATGGATATTAAACTTATTATGTTGACATCACGTACGCCAACATGCGATTTTTCAATACCAAGAGGGCCAACTAATCCCATATGCAATAGCATTCTATACTCTTATTCATGAATTCACAATCTGAATCAGTGTAAAAATATTTAAATACGATGAGATTTAAGTTGTTTGTAATTGATAAATATTAAGTAATAGTAGTTAAATATAGAAGTTGAAATTGTTTTTGTCGTGATCTATGCCCACATGAGTTTATTCAATGACTGATCACTAAGGTCTACTAATCATATTCAATAGCATATTCCTACTTGACTAAAAAATATTATAATATATTTTTTTGGCTTACATTGTTTGCAAAAAATGCGACATTTTATTGATATGTATAATTTTCTATACAAAGGGATTGATGGTAATTCACAAAATAAAAAATGGAACCGACAAATTTCATGATTTAGAACTAGCAAGTTGTTTGATATATGAGAGATTACATAGGAGTTTAGCTAGATTTTATTAATCTACATTAATCCGTTGGATATTTGATGTAGCCCACTTATAGCCCAATTATATATATATATATATATATATATATAATATATATATATATATATATATATATATATATATATAATATATATATATATATATATATATATATATATATATATATATATATATATATATATATAGGGAAAAGTGAATATACCCTTAAGGGTATATAAGCTTAGGTACCCAAACACACCATAATACATCATTTTGTTTGATATATTCATTATAATGTTCTTGAACTTCAATGTTAACTTGATTTACTTTTAAGATATTCAAAATTTCACTACTATATTTCTCTTACATCACATCTTTTTGCTAAACACATACTAGGCTATATATATTGTAGTTGAAAATGAAATTATGTAAGAGGAAGATAAATGTGTAATTTATAAAATTTTTGGAAGTAAATCAAGTTAGAAGTTAAAATATAAGTGGGGGAGATTTGTAGCACCTGGTTCTTGGTACATATTCTTTGTAATTAATCTTTAAATATTTGCATTTTTGGCCTTGGACTCGGCGAGTTGAAGAACCAACTCGCCGAGTAGAAGAGGGATAAGACGCGGGACTTAATTGATGGACTCAGCGAGTCGGGTCCCGGACTCGGCGAGTAGGTACTGTTCGGATAAAAACCCTAATTCGAGGGTTTGCACCCCATTTAAGCAATGTTATGATGGTCATATTGTCCTTTATGCTCCCCAAAACACTTCTCATTGAAACCCTAGCCATTTGTGCTTTGTTGAGGCCATTTTGGTGTTCTTGTGTGGTTGTTAAGCTTGGAAAGAAGGAAGGAGCTTGGAACTTGAATTGGGACCAGTAGATCCAAGGATTTTACTTCATTTTCAGCAGCTTCAAGGTATAATGCCCCTGTCTTGAATCATCTATGCATTTATTCATATTTAACTTGGGATCTCTTTGGATTTCTAAGTCATATTTCGGATTTGGAAGTGTTGAGTGGGTTTTGACTTCAGATCTGGACCTTAAGAGGGGTCTTATGGAATAAAGGTGCCAACTTTAGGGCCATGAGAGCTCCATGCACATTGTAGGATACTTTATATGGATTGTTGAGCTAAAAAAACCCCATGCATGTGCATCAAGTTTGGAACTTTACGTATAAAGTGAAAATTACGAGGCCAGATCTATGGTTTTGATGTGTTAGATCTCATTTAAATCGACTGCATGGATTTGGTCAAGATTGGACTCAGCGAGTCCGTTCTTGGGACTCGGCGAGTCCAAGGCATAAAGTGCCATATCTGTTAAGGGTCTAAAGAACTTAACTGGGTGTTAGAAGGACTAAAGAAGGTCAGAAAGGGTGACCCAATGTTCTGGACTAAGCCATTGTTCTGGATATTCATGGGACTCGGCAAGTGCATGATCAGACTCGGCAAGTCCAAGACAATCTTCTTGTGGATAAAGATGAACTCGAAGAGTTGTTCATACATCTCGGCGAGTCAAGTACAGGACATGTTTATCAGTTGACGATGAACTTGACGAGTTGTTCATACAACTCGGCGAGTCGGATGAAGATTCAGTTGATGTCCATTTAGAAGCAAAACTCATTGAGTCATCGCCTAACTCGACGAGTAGAGACGAGTGTAAGAACAAATGGAAGGATAGGGACTCAGCGAGTTGGCGAGTCAGGTCAACTGGTAGTTGACTTTGACTTTGACTTGGTGGGGGTAAAATGGTCATTTTACCCTAAGGACAGTTAGCAGTGTTTGGTGGACTATTTTTGGGGAATTACAGCCGGAGGATTTTCGGAGTAGCAGTAGCAGATAGACAGTTCCCGCGCAGATCAGCAGCTACTTCGAGGTGAGTGACCTTCCAGTAGTGGTGGGTCTACGACCACAATGCCGGCCCATTAGTAGGAGTTGTATGATTAGATGATTGTCTATGTTATGTTCATCTAGGTTTGCTACTACCTGATATGTTTACGTGCTAGTATGATATGATGCTATGTGCTAGTGACAGTAGGGGAGATAGTCCCCAGTATCCGGTCGAGAAGACCGAAGGGGAGACCAGCACCCAGATATGCTAGTCAGCATCCGGTTGAGAGGACCGAAGGGGGGACCAGCAACCAGATATGCTAGTCAGCATCCGGTCGAGAGGACCGAAGGGGTAGGTCGGGCACCTAGATATGCCTGACAATATATGTGTGTTATGTGGTTGTATGGTATGTGCTACGATGGGGGAACTCACCAAGCTTCGTGCTTACAGTTTTCAGTTTTCCGCTTTCAGGTACCTCTTCATCGAAGGGGAAGGAGATGGCGCGGTAGCGGCACATCACTCGTCCTCTCTACATGAGGACCGCCCCTAGACTTGTGATAGATGCATCACAGAATACCATAAAATGTTCAACCCCCTCTGGGAGTGTCAAGACTGGTGCCTCACACAAACGCTGACAGAGGGTCTCAAATGCCCTCTGCTGCTCGGGGCCCCACCGAAAATGCACCCCTTTCCTCGTCAGATGAGTAAGGGGTACTGCAATCTTGGAGAAATCTCGAATAAATCTCCGGTAGTATCCTGCTAATCCCAGGGAGCTCCTAATATCCGAGGGTGATTTCAAAACCTCCCACTGCATAACCGCCTCAATTTTGGCCGGATCGACCAAAATCCCCTCCTGGTTAACGAGATGTCTGAGGAACTGGACCTCTCGTAACCAAAACTCACACTTCGAGAACTTGGCATATAGTCGTTCCCGCTGCAGTACTCCCAGCAGCTCTCGTAAATGCTCCTCATGCTGCTCTCGGGTCTTGGAATACACCAAGATATCATCTATAAACACTATGACCGAGCGGTCAAGCATCGGTCTACAGACCCGATTCACCAGATCCATAAATACTGCTGGCGCGTTGGTGAGCCCAAATGGCATCACCACGAACTTGTAATGTCCATAACGAGTTCGGAACGCGGTCTTCTCCACGTCTTCCTCTCTGACCCTGACCTGGTGATACCCAGATCTCAAATCTATCTTGGAAAACCAAGATGCACCCTGCAACTGATTGAAGAGATCGTCTATCCTTGGGAGTGGGTAAAAGTTCTTTACCGTTAGCTTGTTCAACACCCGGTAATCAATGCACATCCGGTGCGAACTGTCCTTCTTCCGGACAAAGAGATCGATGCTCCCCATGGAGAACTGCTAGGTTGGATGAATTGTATGCCCAACAGTTCCTGCAGCTGTGACGACAGCTCCTGCGTCTCTGGTGGCGCTAACCGGTACGGCGCCTTAGCGATAGGGGCCGCACCTAGCATCAGGTGGATCCTGAACTCGACCTGCCTCTCCGGAGGTATCCCTGGAAACTCCTTCGGAAACACATCTGCAAATTCCATGACCACTGGTACATCGGAAACCAATTTTTGGTCCCTGACTCGCGTATCTACCACGTACGCTAGATAACTCGTACATCCATGTTGAATGTACTACCGAGCCCTGGTAGCTGAACATAAACCCGGGCCTACTCCGGTGCCCTCACCATATATAATCAATTCTCCCCCACTTGGGGTTTGAACTACCACTCGTTGGCCCTCGCAATCAATCATAGCATCGAACTTACTGAGCCAATCCATGCCCACAATCATGCACACCTCCCTCATGGGAATCAGAATTAAGTCTATCGAAAAGAGACCCCAAAAATCTCCAAGTCACATCCTCGATAAACTCAAGAAGCAGAAACCCCGTTTTCGTTGGCGATAGATAATCGTAACAGACACTCCAACTCGCCCACCAGTATACTGAACTCCCTACTAAAAGACCAAGACACGAAGGACCAACTCGTCCCCGAGTCAAATAAGACCAAAGCGGACAAAGAGTTCAACAAAAACGTACCTAATCACAGGTACAACAGATAAGCATATAACAGATAAATAAAACAATATGAGGATAGAAACATATCAGCAACCACATCTGGTGCTGCTCTGGCCTCCTCAGCCGTAAGCTGGAAAGCATGGCCCTGAGCCTTCGGAGGCTCTGTCCTGACTGGTCACCCATCTGTGATCCTCAAGGTAGTCAGTGCTGCAGCCTGCACCGGCTTGGCGGAAACTAGTGGACAGTTGGCCTTCATGTGGCCGACCTGGTTGCAGTGATAACATAACCTCATACCCTAAACTGGGGCAGCCTGGCAACAATCCTTCGCGTAATGCCCCTCCTTGCCACACTTGTGGCACCCACTACTAGCCCGACATACACCAGAATGTCCCTTGCCACACTTCCCACAAGTGTGTCCCTGTTGACCCCCAGTCCTAGCATCGACAGTCTTAGGCCGCTTCGACGCCGGCTGTGACAGTACCGGGGTCGACCGCTGCTCCCTTAGTTGCAGCTCAATCTCTAACTCCCGCCGCCTGGCAGCCT